GCTCTTCTAATTGGTCAAATGCCAAAATAAGATGTAGAGCCATGTAGCAGTATCTTTGCTCAAAGGCTGAATATAGATCTTGTGCTTCTAGATCTTACTGAGGGACGAGGGTAAATAAAATGCTTCTGCGTTTTATTTAGAGTAAATAAAATGCAGAAGCAGTCTTGAATCATTTTGTTAAAGAAGCTGAGAACCTTTTTTTTTTTTCTCTTCTGTTGCTGAATCTCTATTGACTGGAGGGTCAAACCGATTCTAGTGACGTAATAAGGCTTTGGTGCTGCTGCAGCTCTCACCACACTAACATCCATTTCTGTCTGCAGGATTTGTCTCGTTGTAAGAAAGTAATGGAGGAAAGAGGAGAACTATTTCTGGAGAAGATCTCCATGTCCAGGACCAAAGTAGCTAAGCTCTGCCACACTTTCATCAAAGATGGAGCCGTAAGTACCAGCCACGTCTTATTTCTTGCTCTTTGCATGTCATTAATCTGGAGCATTTCCTCTCAGAAAATCCTGACCCATTCATACTCCAGAGTGGTCCTGAGAGTGTTGGAGAAAGCCGCCGCAGAGAAGAAGCGCTTCTCGGTCTTTGTGACCGAATCGCAGCCTGACGCCACCGGGTGAGCGACAATTTAAGCTGTGCTCTGCTCAAAGGATGCAAAAAATAATTCAGTTTTCTTCTTTCTTTCTTGAAGACGGCAGATGGCTGAAGCCCTAAAGAAACTGAACGTTCCAGTGACGGTAGTGCTGGATGCAGCTGTAGGGTAAAGAAAGCCGTTCGGGGAAAATAATTGGTTTATTTTGTCTTTCATCTCCAGTTGAACTTTACAACTGAAAAGATCAGTGAAATATAACTCTAAGCTAACGATTACAGCAGTATTTATTTAGCACGATATAAAATAACAAAAATTACTTTGAAAAACTTCCATTATAAAGGCAGTAGAAGACCATTTAAATGGTCAAATATGAAATAGAAAGTAAAACCAAAAATAGCATGGTACCTTAAGGTAAATTTTGTGGAACTCCAGTATTGATTCAATATAAAATGCTTGATTTTATCTGTTCAAAATATATATTTATATATATAATATATATTTAATATATATTACATCCCTTGTCTATAATTAAAATGTAATTCTACATTTAAAATTTTCACAGGCAGTGAAAGTGAATCCAGATAATTTATAGATTTTTTTATATTAACGTTAGGAATAATATAAACAAGGAACCTTGTTTTACCTGTTTCTTTCGTCCCTCAGGTACGTGTTGGAGAAAGTGGACCTGGTCATCGTTGGTGCTGAGGGCGTCGTTGAGAGCGGAGGGATCATCAACAAGGTGAGCTCCTTTTTACAGCCTCAGCAGAGATATAATCAAATGAAGCCTGGACTATCAGGCTATCAAACATAATCTGCACCTTTTCTCATCCAGCGGATGTAAACTATACAGGAGACTGTTTCAGAATGGGATTATTTACCCAGGATTCATGTTGCTGAGTTAGCATTTATCATAAATAGGCTAATATATTACCATAGTAAATTAGCCCCACCCACCAGCGGCCAAAATCATTTCTGCCTGCGAGTGGTCTAGCCTCGATCAGTGCCCCAGGCCCTAGAACTGGCGGGCCAATCACAACGCAGAAATGTATTTTGAATGGCAACTATTGAACAGTTGTAGTTTGACTCAGCTTTGGAATCGGTTTTGGAAGGATTAGACTTGGGGTTTTCGTTGAAACGTGAGCAGGAAGAGACTCTACACTCATTAATTTTTAAGAAGGACGTATTCGCCGTTTTACCGACAGGCTGCTTGTTTACACTCCCCCACCAGCTTTCTGTCGCTCTTACAACGTCACAGTCAGTTGCTCTCATTGGTCAGAGCATTGGCCAATAGGTACAGACAGCGGTCTGAAAGACAACAGGTTGTTCTCATCAACAATCTTCCGATGTCTCATTCATCGGGGCCAGACTAAATTACATATTTAATCTCACATTTAGTCTGGCTTATCAGGCTACCAATATATAATAAATAGGCATAAAGGTGGAACTGGATTAGGATTTAGAAAACAGCTAAAATAAAAGCTTAGATTGTGTTCGAAGGGAATTTAATTCAATGCAACTTAATGTTGGCTCTGAAAGTGAGCATGGTACCTTAAGGTAAATCTTATTTTCCAGCATTTTATATTGAATCAATACTGGAGTTCCACAAGATTTACCTTATCTTTTATATTTTCCAACATTTGACGGAAAATTGGAGCTAAAGTAGGATTGGTTCTAAATTTCCCTGATTGTTAGAGAATAGTAGGATTTCTACGCAGTTTTATTTCAGGTCATGATCCGGATTAAGATGATGGTGTGTCTGTGTAGAAATTACAAAGCAGCTCAACATTAACTCAAAAGTTGTGTTCAAAGGGAATTACAGATCCAACTCTGTAAACTCTTTCTTCTAAACACTAGGGGTGTAGATAATCGTTTTGTATCGATGCATCGATCCAACAGCCGACGATCCGATGCATCGATACGTCCGCAAGAAAATCGATTCATGTTTTTTTTTTCCTCCGGTCTATTTTTATCCATTTGCTCCTGGGCGTAATTCTCCCTCCCGTGCTGGGGTGGCACTAAACCTATTTTGCCCTCCTACCTCGCTTCCTGGTTATACTCTTACAGCAGTGTGTTGCAGTGAGCTTGACACAGACATTTTTGATTTATGCTCAATATTGAAGCGTGGTCTGAGCTACACACTGTGGGTCTAGATATGGCCGATGCGGCGAGGAAGTGGGGGCGAGTTTAGTCCGATGACGGAGGGACATGAGGGCCAAAAAGAGCGGAGATCCAGGTGGAAAAAGGGTCCCAGCGTTCTTGTGCACCTCACTCTTCTAGCTGGTCAAACTTCACGACTTGTTTTCCGCAATTTTGGTCATAAAAACAAAACTAGCCGGCCTCCTGTCTGCGGTCAGCTACAATTAGGGAGAGGAGCAGCTGAGCGTCTTTCAAGGGGGCGGGGACGTCTGCAGCCGAGGTATTGCGTTGCACACATTGCACTGATTTTATGCAGTATTTTTTGATGCAACTTTTCTACTTCTGTTATTTGCTGTTTCATTGATTTATTTGAAACTTTAAACTTTGTTTAGCCTGTAAGGTGTAAAAAAAAAAAAAAAAAAAAAAAAAAAATTCGCATCGTGGTGTATTCTTCAGTATCGAAAATAATCAAATCGTTGGGTCAGGATATCGATACTAAATCGAATCGCCATGATGGATGTGATTTTTTTTACACCCCTACTAAACACATTGTCATATTTTATTTTCATTTGTAAAAAATCTCCCAACCTTTTCTGATTATCTTGTGGCACTAGCTAAATTTCGCTTATTTTGGTGCAGCTTCATGTTGTCATGTAGCTGCTTTCAGCATAAGCCCCGCCCCCTGCTGGCCGTATTAAAAACAGGGAGGCTGCTTCTGTTTTGTAACCAACTCAGCGCCTTTTCAGACTTATCCGAGGACTTGTTAGCAAAAAATCAAATAAGCCACAATTCTAGCAAGTTTTTACTGTCTTATTGACTTTGGTGTTTTTCCCGCAATTACGGTCATAAAAACAAAACAGGCCGGCCTTCTGTTTGCGGCACTGTCTGCAGACAGCTACAATTAGGGAGAGGTGCAGCAGAGTAATAATAATAATAATAATTTTTATTTATAATGCACTTTACATTTGATTTCAAATCTCAAAGTGCTACAAAACAAGTTTAAAAGACCATAACATTAAAAACAGAGTAAAAAGACAGTCATTAAAATCAATACATTAACAGGCATACGTAGCCTATTAAAAAAATCTAAAATCAACAATTGTAGGAATTTCTAAACAGGAAAGTTTTTAGTCCTTTCTTAAAACAATCCACTGTCTGTGGGGCCCTAAGGTGGTCTGGGAGGGCATTCCACAGATGGGGAGCTGCGGCTTCAAAGGCCCTGTCGCCCATTGTTTTTAGCCGTGTCCTGGGTGGGGCCAGACGGTGCTGTTGGCCTGACCGGGTCCGGGAAGAGGTGTGTGGTGTGAGCAGCTCAGTGAGATACATGGGGGCCGCACCGTGCACACAGTGATGGGTGTGCAGAAGAATCTTGTACTCTATACGGGCGTGAATGGGCAGCCAGTGTAAAGTGTGAAGGATGGGAGTGATGTGCTGGTGTTTCCTCACCCTCATCAGGACCCTGGCAGTGCTGTTCTGTACATACTGGAGCTTCTGAAGGCTCCTGCCAGAGATCCCGACGAGGAGAGCGTTGCAGTAATCCAGCCTGGAGGAGACGAAGGCGTGGACGAGCTTCTCTGCAGCAGGGAGGGATAGGGAGGGACGGAGTTTAGAGATATTACGGAGGTGAAAGAAGGACGTTTTGCAGATGGAGGTGACATGATTGTCAAAGGAGAGGTGGGGGTCAAGCTTGTTGACCCCAAGGCTTGTAACAGAGGGAGAGAGGGGAATGATATGACCACAGAATGAAACAGAGGTGAGAGGAGAGGAACGGAGTTGATGAGGAGTACCAGTTTGGATGGCCTCTGTTTTTGAGGCATTAAGCTGCAGGAAGTTTTGACTCATCCACGCCTCTATATCCTCCAGGCAGGAGCTGAGGCGGGTGACAGAGTTGGCGGGGGAGCTGGGAGGAGTCATTTTAATGTAAAGTTGTCTGTCGTCAGCATAGCAATGGAAGTTGACCCCATGCCTGCAGAGTGTCTGCAGAGGGGGCGGGGACGTCTTTGTGTTCACTGCGACACCTACGCAGACAACCTAGTTTCGAAGTATAAATCAGTCTCAACAAGCCCCTCCCACCTCCAGAACAAAGGGACTCCGATGCAGCAGCTGCAGCCCGTCGGCCCAGAGGGAGCAAAGCAATTCTCGTTTCCCCATTCAGTTTTTTTTTCTGTAAAACTGTTCCAGCGAATCAGAATAGCATGTGGGCGTGGTTTCAGCACCCCCAGCATCTCAGGGCAGAGAAAACAGATGTTTTTTCATTACTTTAAAGACCTAATTTTATTTAATTAGTCGTTTTTTTTAATCATTGAATTTCATATAAGTGATTAATAAAAACATTTCTGTGGTTTGACAAACTGAGAACAGATTTATTTGTACTTTACTCTTTAACAATCGTCAGTACTAATTTACACACACACACACTGGCTGTTATCAGGTAGTTAGCAGGATTAATGGGGGCTGAACACATTCTTGCTGCACATATTTTATTTATAAAAACATTTGTAAAACTGAACCCTTGTTAAAAGTCTGTTTTGTCTTTCCAGATTGGCACCTATCAAATGGCTCTGTGCTCCAAAGCTCACAACAAGCCCTTCTACGTTGTGGCTGAAAGTTTTAAATTTGTCCGCCTGTATCCGCTAAACCAGCAGGATGTGCCTGATAAATTTAAGGTGCTGCTTCCTTATGTTGTTGGTTTTCCCTCCTTTTTATTCAGATGTACTGACTTGTGCTTCCTGTCCCTCCGCAGTACAAGGCAGACACCCTGAAGAGCGGACAGAACCTGTCAGAGGAGCACCCCATCATCGACTACACGCCGCCATCACTCATCACCCTCCTCTTCACCGACCTGGGCGTCCTCACCCCGTCGGCGGTCAGCGATGAACTCATTAAGCTGTATTTATAACTGTGCCTCATTGTTCTCTAATAAACACCCTTAAACAGACGACTGGTTCCTCCTGAGCTTTAATTTAGGGTCCTTCTGCTTCTTGCTTTGACTTTGGTCGATTTGCGATCTGCTGATCAAAGTCTTCCTCGCTGATTTGGCCTTTTTTGAGCTTCTTAAGGAGGCGCGTGTCTTCCAAAAGCTCTTTCATGTATTCGTCATCCACATCAGAGTCCTGCAGAGGCAGAAGAGAAGCCATAAGTATATCGGATCCTGTCTAAATGCTCAGTTTATCCCAACAGAATTACCTCATCGTGCTTCCTTTTAGCGGCCCGTTTTTTCTTGCGCTCCTTCTTGGTCTTCTGTTTGGACCAGGCCTTGTTCTTAACGAAGCTCTTCTTGGGAAGCTCTGTCTTTTCCTTGTCCTTCAGCTCAGCCAGCCTTTTCCGTCTCTGCTTTTCCCGGTTTTTGTCCTTGTAGCGTATGGTCTCTGTGTCCACGGTCGTCTCCGCGAATTCAGGAAACGATTTTCCCTTCAGCTCCGGCATCTTTGGGAGGCGGAGCAAAGCGAAGCCGCGAGCCAAGGACACAAAATCCAGATCTGAAAAAATAAAACCTCATTAAGTTTTAATTGTCTCTAAGGAAATGATTATAGCTTTGAGGTTTTCTCACCTTTTACTCTAAAGATGAGGCTACATTCATGTTTGGCGTATGCCTGGACGTATGAGACGAAGGCCTTCATCCCGCGGTCGAACATGGCTCGGTCAGCCAGGGCCATGGCCTTCACTTTGGGAAGCACGTCCACCACATCCTTAATGGGAGACATCTTCTGCAGCGGGCACTGAGCCATTAACGAGAGGAGGCCATTTCTCATTAAACGTTCTAAACAAATGCACCTTTTCTGACCTGCAGACATCAATGGCATCCCTTTCTGCTTTAAAGAAAACCATTTTTCACCATAAGTACAGTCTGAGATGCTCTGCTGTTAAACAGAGTCACACTGATAATGAACAAGGACAAAGTGATTATAAAGGAGTCAACTTCTAGTTTGTGAGGCCCGTCATTTGCTGGCAAAATCATTTTTCACTGCATCTAAAATTCTTTGAAATATTTCTCTTGAGAAATTGTAACATGAAAAGAAAATCTGGGATTATATTTCCAAAAAAAAGCTAATTTTAGTTTAGAAAAATAAACTGGTTTAGAAAAAAAAACCTAAGTTGGCAAAACCCCGTGCTCTTTGCTATTAGGGCTAGGCTAGAGTTGCTTTTTCTATTTCAAGAATAAAGTCGCAACAAGAAAAGACATAACATTGTAAGGAATAAGTCGTAACATTGCGAGAAAAAAGTAACACAAAAAACAAGTTGTATTTTATGACAACTATTACAAGAAACACTTTGTTCCCTAAAATGAGGAATGTGGAGCATCATGTGAACTTTGGCTCTGGTTTGACTAATAATGAAATCTTTTAGCAGCAGCATCAAATTGGGCAGAAGGTCAAAGTGGACTCAGGTTGCTGATTGGTGGAGCTGGTCGACCGTCATCTGCAGCTTTAAAACTTTCTTTCTGAAACGGGTATATACGGGATGACTTAATTCTCGTTATATTCAGAGATGGGAAGTAACGAAGTACAAATACTTCGTTACTGTACTCAAGTAGATTTTTCTGATATTTTTTACTTTACTACTTATTTTTATGGCAACTTTTTACTTCTACTCCTTACATTTTAAAAAATTGTCTTGTTACTTTAGTTTTGAATAATTTCAATGGAGTTACCATTATTATTTTTCACGTCATCAATACCAAATTCAATCTAATTGGATGGGAATCTACATTGCATTTGACGCACCACTACAAGATGAATCGACAGATTCGGCGGTATTCATTGGCGGCAAATCATTGCAGCTTGGTGGCGGTGGCGTTAGCATAGTAGCATGGACGACGAGATGATTGAAAATGAACACAACGGAGATCTAGTCCTATTGGCAGACATCCATTTAAAATGTAGGCAACGGCATGAAAAAAGTGGTTTCTACTTTTACTTTTATACTTTAAGTAAATTTACAAGCCTGTACTTTGTTACTTTTACTTGAGTAAAGAAGTTTAATCACTACTTCCACTTTTACCAGAGTATTTTTTAACACAAGTATCTGTACTTTTACTCAAGTACGGAAAGTGAGTACTTTTGCCATCTCTGGTTATATTACAACTTTAATCTAAAAATAAAATAAAGAAATCTCTAACCTGGCCCTCATAGTCTGTCCTACTTTGCTGCCACCTAGTGGACATTCAATTTAACAGGCTCTGGTTGTTTGTGTCGCTTTAAATTGGGGCTTAATGATTTTGGCAAAAATCTAAATTGTGATTATTTTTAACCAAAGTTGCGATTTTATTTTGACCTTTCTTTGCACCAACCTCAAGCTTGTAGATGTTTCACCCCAGGCTTTTGGTTTTTGAAAGCTTGCTTACCCAGAATCCACTGTTACAGGACTTTACTGCAACCTTTCTGCGAAAAAATGTTTACTTCTACTTGCAAGGTTGGGTCTGTGCTCTGGCTGCAACTCTCTCTTTTTGTAACAACGATCCCACTTCAACCATTTAACCACCACCATAAGGACTGTGATTTGAAAATAGCATTATGTTAAATTGCGTTTTTAATGCAAATTCATTTAATTTCCCAGGAAAGTCAGTTGATAAAGTAAAGTGGATCAGGTTAAATTTTTACATATTAAGAAAAAAAACATGCATTAATCAACAGCCGTGATAAATTTGACAAGTTAAAAATAAATTTTTAATTTTTCTTTTACTAATTCACTGTGATGAAAAACTGCATATGGTGATTAAATAAAGAGCAGGCAACAAGACGCTGTTAGAGATAGTAGAAATAAAATTAACTGATTTATTTTTTTATTAAGTGCCTATATGTAAACTACTATAGGAGGAAGATGCAATCCACCTTATGCTGATGATATTCCACTGAAAATGGTCACGGTGGAAGATGGCGCCTAAAAAGCGCTGCAGTTTCTGGTGGAACCCGGAGGTTAGACGAAACAAAAACGACTTTAATCCAGTCGTATCCAGTTTTGCTAAATCTCAACAGAACCACCAACTGTGGTTCTGACCGGTTTCAGTATATTCCTGCTTGGTGATACTGATCGTTATTATTATTGGTTAGATTCCTGAATTCATTGATTACCAAATTAGGTACAAAATGTGGAGGTTTTTTTTGTATTTTTAAAAAATTTGAGAGAAATCTATTTTTAAGAGAAAGTGTTCACTCTAAATGCATATATATTTATATATATATATATATATATATATATATATATATATATATATATATACTTGAGAGCAATAATATATATACTTATATTTTTTCAGCATTTTATTGTCATTACACCGTTGCAAGTACAGATCAACGAAATTCACCCCTGCAGTTAAGCCATCCCCTTGGGGAGCAGTGGGCTGCCATTGTGTGATAAAGGGTCTTGCTCAGGGACCCACAATGCAAGATGTGGGGATCAAACCGGGTACTTGCTAACTTCTCAAAGCACGAGCGCTATGCCCTAAGCACTAGGCCACCACTCCCCAATAATTCTGAGAGCTTCTTTCCCTTGTAAATCACTTTCCGACTGTCAGTTTCTTTTATTTATTCAAAATATTTTCTCTCAAAACTTTTTCTTTAGTCTCAAATAACATCAGTTTTTGCTATCAGTGTATTTTCTTCTCTCCAATATATTTATTTTATTTTAAAAATCATTTCCCCCTTTCAGATAATTTTTTTTCTTGAATAAATAACAATCACAAAAAATAACTTCATACAAAACAACTCAAAGAGTTTCTGAAGCGATGAAGTTCGATCCAGAAGGTTCTGCTGCGATCGGCCATTAAAAACACCTCAGATTAGCTTTATATGACTCACCTTCTGGTTGATGGATAAGAAGTTGACGTAAGTTTCCTCCATCGGCAGCAGGAATACGAGGGCGTTGCCATAGTTACCGATGCGCGCCGTCCTCCCGCATCGATGCACGAAAGCGCTGCAGCGGATAAACCAAGCAAACATCAGAGCTGGAAAAGTGAGATACTAAAATCTGTTGCGTCGTTTCTGACGGACGCAGACGTGGCGGCGCACCAACCTGGCGTTGCTGGGCGGATCGTACTGAAGGACCCAGTTTACATCAGGGATGTCGATGCCCCTGGCCATGACGTCGGTGCAAACCAAGATCCCGCTGCAACATTAAAACAGTTTAAAACAGTAAAAACGATTCATCTAGAACCACGCAGGAGGAGGTTCCTACCTTTTCAGAGACCGAAACTCTGCAAAAATACTGTTGCGCTTGTTTTTCATCTTTCCGTGGATGCAGTGGATGGTGACCTTCTTGACCAGCGACTCCAAGGCTCGGCCGAAGTATTCCACACAGGCACAGGTGCTGGTGGTTAAAACCGAGGGAGAAAAATATTAGAAATGAATAAATCTTATTTATTACGATCAGAGTTCACATCCTTTCGACTTTCCCACAATTTGTCACAAAGATGTCAAACTTATTATACATTTTATCTCGCAGACGAACAAAATGTGCTTAAATATCCCGAGGAAGGATAAAAAGATAAAAGTTTCAAGAGCAAATCTACCGGTAAATAAAAAATAAAGAAGCAGAAATAACGGCTGAATGTGAACTGATGGACCAAACCTGAAGAAGACCAGGTTCTTCTCATGCTTGTGTTGCCTTAGAAACGCCACCAGGTTGTTGAACTTGTCCTCCGCTCTGCAGATCTGACAGGAATACACCACAAACAGTTTTTTTGGGTCTCATCTTTTAGGGCAGGATGCAGAACGACGGCGCCGGAGCTCCCAAACTCACGCTGTAGTAGTTGGAGAGGCGGGACGGCGTCTTCTGTGCAGCGGCGGCGGCAGCCTGACCTTTCTCTTTGACTGTGATCCGTACGGGGTTTCTGAGGCCGGCCCTCACCAGCTTCTCCAGCTCCTGGGTCTGAGTGGCTGAAAACAGGCCGGTCCGTCTCTGCTTGGGCAGGTAGCCCAGGATGGTGTTCAGGCTGCGTACAAATGGAGACAGAAATATGTCATGTAGATCCCTTTATTATCCCACAATGAGGAAATTTGTTCTCTGCATTTAACCCATCATTGTGTGGCGCCCGGGGGAGCAGTATCAGGTTAAGGGTTTAACTCAGGGACCGCAGGCTGTGGGGATCGAACCGGTTACTTCTCAGAACACAAGTGCACTGCTGTAAGTGTTAAGCCAACATACATACAAGTACATACATCCAAAACTGGAGCAAACTGTTAACTGGCATCCAGAGAAGCTCTCAGAGTTAAGGGCTGGTTATCCTCCAGCAGCATTGTGTCGCAGATATTTTTGATTTATGCCCAATATTGAAGCGTGGACTGCGCTGTGTTATTCCACGCCACAACGCAAGAGGGGCAATCAGGAACTAGCTGTGGGTCTAGATACGGCCGAGGCGGTGAGGAAGTGGGGGCAAGTTTGTGCGACAACGGAGGGACATGAGGGTGAAAAAGAGCGGTGATCAAGGTGGAAAAAGGGTCCCAGCGTTCTCGTGCACCTCGCTCTTCTAGCTGGTCCAACTTCGCGTGTCGTTTTCCACAATGACGGTCATACAAAAAAAAAAAACAAGCCAGTAAGGTACCAGACAGGAAATACACATAGTGTAGAGTGGATGAGGATTTGACCAATCAGAGGCACTTCTCCGCCAGTCATCGATTTCAGCAGGATCAACATGTTACGTTTTTTTTTTGCCCTCTTTTTGGGTACGAAATAATTTTTGCAAACATTTGACTCAAACCTAAATTTATTATCTTTGTTCCTAGAAGGAAAGTTCCTTTTTTCAAGTTCACAACCCTAACTGTACCTGAACCCCTCCCTGCTGGATTGAAAACTAAAAAAAACCCAAAAAGTACAGAATCTGGATGTTTCAGAGCATGTGAAGGCTGCATTTACAGGACAATTTGTCCTTTAGTCGTCATTTACAAAGAAATCTCATTATTTGTTTTTTATTCATCACCTTTACACTGTTTTCCAAGATTAGTGCACACTCGTTAGATCGCCCTGTTTTTGTTGTGAATGTGGTTTATTTTTATTCTGGTTGAGTTTTGCAGTTTCTCCAGTCCCTTGATTGAGGAACCGGCAAGTGGCCAAGGGGCTGAGTTGATTTGGACCGTACCACATCAACGCTATGGGGGGAAATGGGGTTTTAATTAATTTGGTTTAGTTTTGTTTTTGTATGTTTTACCCCATGTGTTTGTTTAAGTTTCCCTTTATCTCATTAAGGAAGGTCAGTTTCCTATTCTGTTCTGTTACAGATGCTTTGAGTAGTTTTGGTTCCTTTGACCTTTTTCCTGGATCCATTTTTGTACTTGTTACTTATTATATTTTTTGGGTTAAATAAAAGAACCCTGTTTTTTTTTTTATCATCATTCAACCAGATGCTCTAAAACCCGGAACATTCTCTCCTTGATTGGAGCAAAAGACAAGCAAACCACCAGCAGCAGGTTTGGTTCTGAGCTCCTTCCTCCATCATAGCCGTAGAAATGTTTCCCATCGCTTCGTACCTGGCCTCAAAGCCCATGTCCAGCAGCCTGTCTGCTTCGTCCAGAACCAGAACCTCCAGACTCCTGACGGCGCTGGCCAGTTCAAATCCCTCCGTCTTCCTCCTGAACATGTCCTCCAGTCGGCCGGGCGTCGCAATCACAATGTTGCCTCTGAAAATCAGCACAGATTGGCGTTACTGCAGCATCATCACTTTTTAGATTTTCCAACATTTGACTGAAATTAGGAGCTAAAGTACGATTGTGAACCGTTTATTTTGAATCCAATGTTCTGCATTATGTTTTATAATTCAAATATTTATTGAGTTTTAGTATTTTATAACAAAGAAACAAAAAAAAATTGTTTTAAATTAATATAAAACTGCGAGGTTCATTGTAAATCTGTAAACTCATTTTCTTTCATCCAATCAGAATACTGTTTGAACAATTTAAATCCAGGCATTTTTCTCCTTTTTAATTTACGTTATAAATTCCAAACTATGCTCCGATTCCCTTTAGTTGAACAGAAGGATGTAATCATCCTGTTAAACCCCTTACAAACAAAGGAAGTCCTTTTGCTGACAGCTTTACATCCTGTTAGGGTAGAATTGCCAATCCATACATACCCGTGCTCCTTAAACTTCTCCACATCCTCTGCTGGGTTACTGCCACCGATCAGTAGAATCTGCCTGAGAACCAAGAGGTGAAACAGAGACATTTTTAAACTTTACCACTGATTAAACTCTGAGTCTCATATCTGCCATATTTCATTCTACACTCACGAGAACTCTGGAAACTTCTGGATAAACGTTCCCATCACTTCACTGATCTGCAGGGCCAGTTCCCGAGTAGGAGTGATCACCATGGCGCCAACCTGCAGGAAAAATGCTCCCAATGAGATCCGCCAAAACAGAGAATCCCTCTGAATCACAGAAATGAGAACAGACACGTTGGCGTCTCTTTTACCTGCTTTTTCTTCAGCTTCTCCTCTCGCTTCAGCAGCAGCTCTATGATCGGAATGACAAACGCTAAAGTCTTCCCGCTGCCGGTGATCTGGAACAAACAGAGAGAAGCTCATAACTGTCAGGAATGTCCAACTTTCTCATATTAAAAAAAAATCTCTACATAAAAACACAAAGCAATTGTTTGCATTATTTGTAATTAAATGATTACTGAAATAATCGTTGATTATTTTAATTTAACTGCTTTTAAGAGGAAAACCTTTGTTAGAAAATACGCTCTATGCAGAGCTCTTCAAGTTTAGCTTCACTTTGTTTAAACTCTGTATAAAATCTTCTTTAGGCCACTTTTATTATCTGATTAATCATTGAAAACAATAATGGAAAATGAATCGATTGGCAGAATAATCGTTAGTTTCAGCCCATGTTTAAATACCTCTCCAAATGGTTCATTTCACTTCCACCAAGCCCCCCTGTGGTCAGAAAATTTAAATTTATCTTAATAAAAGTTGAGTCAGTTTCACTTGCAAGGCCTCACAATTCGCCTGAGTGAGGGGTGTTTGTAGACAAGACACTTTATTCTCATAACAAGCCAGATTCTTTTTCAAGGTTTATTCATAACATGATACTGTTTAACCAAAGTGTCAGTCATTTGTTTTGACTCTGACTGCTTTCCATTGTTGTAAGTAAAGAGGAACACACTCTGTCCAGATCAGAACAGGGCTGATTACCATGCAATAAGGGGTGTATGATGAACTGTTCTCTCTTTGCAAACATAAAATAAAGTGCCGACTGAGTGAAATCCATCGATCTCCGTTTATTTAACTGGGGTGAATAGTTGAATACTTTTTTCCCCATTAAACCCCCTTATAATTAAAGATTATCATAACTGACAGTGGTGTCAAAAGTCCACACATTTGTTACTTAAGTAGAAGTATAGATACTGCAGTTTAAAAACAATCTGGTAAAAGTTGAAGTATCAACTTGACCTCTTTACTCAAGTAAACGTGAAAAAGTATGTGCTCCAAACAGTACTTAAAGTATAAAAGTATAAAGTAACCTTTAAAAAACACAGTCAGATGCCACTATATGAATTGAAAGCTCAAAATTCTTTGAGAAAGGGCCAAGGATGAGGGAGGTCTGTTGGTCTCCATCTCTGACCTTTCAGACATTTCAACATCTTCTTCTGAATCCTACATTGTAGCATGGCATAGATAATTCACGTTTGCAGTTTGAAGAACACCTGCTTGCTTCTGATGATTTCCTTTAGCTAACCAATGAGTGTTTGTCATGGTCTTGGTTATGTTGTGCTTTACTTTGCTCCTTGTTTTTTTAGTTTTATTGGTTTAATTCCTGTTTTGTTGTAATTTCTAGATTTATGTTAGTTTTCATGTTTTTCTGTTTTCCTCTGTTGCCCTCTTGTGTGTGTGTGTGTGTTCCTTTCCCCTTGGCTCCTTCGTTGTCTCCTCTCACACCTGCTCCTTGTCAGCTCATTAGCCCTGCCTTTGTCTCAGTCAGCTATTTATACTCTCCCTCTGCTGTCAATCCTTATTGGTTCCTTGTCTTTGCCGTCCTCCCATGCTGTTGTCTACCTACCTCGTCTCTCCCTGGCTCATCGTGTTTGGTTTCCCCAGATGTCTCCATAGTTCTGGTTTGCTTTTCATTATTAGTTGGATTTTTGGTTTCCTGCCTTTGTTAAACTGTTTCCTTTGATTAAATCCACAAGAAATCACCTCAGGCTCTCTGCCTCTGCATTTGGGTCCTAAACCACAACCAACCCTGACACTGTTTCCATTATATGACTGATTATATGGAGCCAATGATCTGCATTGGATGGCACACATGAAGTGAAATAAATATTTATAAACATTAAACTGAAGCCAAGAGTAATGAGTAACGTTTGTTTTAAAAATGTAAGGAATAGAAAGTACAGATACTTGTGTGAAAATGTAATGAGTAGAAGTCAGAAGTAGGAAGAAAAATAAGTAATGGAGTAAAGTATAGATACCTAAAAAGTGTACTTAAGTACAGTAACAAAGTATTTGTACTTTTTTACTTGACACCTCTGATAATTGAAGATTTCTTTACAGCCAGATTCAAAAACCCTATAACAACTGGCCTCTAATAGAGATGCACCGATCCGATACCTGGATCGGATATCGTCTCTGATATCGGCTAATTAACTGGATCTGATATCGGTGATTAGAAATCTGATATCGGAAATCCAATCCAGTGCACTTTATGTGTAACTGTTGCTTCCTTTCTTTGCTGCTTATTTGTTCATAAACAATATAAGGTATACTTATATATGTCTGAATGTGTTACAAACCTTTACCAACATTGTAAGATAGATGGTGCATCGCTCTCAGGGTCGGTAGAGCTACTGCAGGCTTCTAGTAGCTTAAATCAATATAAAATATTATCCGCTTTGCATTACTTATTAGTTTAATATAAATAACACGAGAGTACCGCAGTTCACAAGGAAAACATTAGTTTTTTTTTCAAAACATCTTGAGCTGTTCAAGCCTCCTTAATAACTTGTTGAAAAGACACTCACCGCCTCAGCTGCCACATCTTTATTGTTCATGAACAGCGGGATACAAGCAGACTGTAAAAGGGAACGGATCCAGCAGTCAGGCAGAGTTTTAATGACATAACAGATGGAAACAGGGAGTTTAAAGCTAAATCAGTTACCTGCACAGGAGTCATGTGAGTGAATTTCAACTCTTCCAGGGTTTGTAAAATCTTCTGGTTTATTTGAACAGGTAAGCTGTCCCACGTGCCGTCTGTAATGTTCTCCATGTTGGGGAATAAACCGAGAAAATGTTACAGCAGAACCATAAGATGTTAGATGGAAGTCAGTGAAAGTTTAGCACATGGCCAGAATGAGCACAACGATGGACCGGTGTTATGCCCAAAAGTGCATGCCTGCCGAAATATGCATCCCCAGTCGCGGGAGCGCGCCTCGCTCTGTTGAACTGCATATCGACGAGGAAAACGGATTAAAATATGTTCAATGGAGCTTAGGTTCTTATATTAATGATATAAAAACGTTTAAAAATACCTCTCGTGGGAAAAAAAAGTTGTGGTTATTTGGCAGATTAATTTACAAAAGTACGGATTTTTTGAACAACATTAAATCCAAAGATTTTGACCATGGTACGGCTGATTTATTTGTTGTGGTCTCTTGCTATTTACACACAACACTAAACCGTGATAGCCGAAGTGAGTTTTGAGTTTGCAAAGCTTTCTCTTAAGTGGAAAATCAAACGCGCACCTACAAAGCACAGCGTTCACAGACCAGTGAGATGCGTTCGCTGCGCGTCAGAAAGCTATGGTGCATTCAGGAGCATTGGAACATTTTAAACTTACAAGAATGAGGCATAAAACAGAACTGTATTTTTACTGAACTGTATTGTTTTTTTGTTTTTTTGTTTTTTTGTTTATGCACATCTGCTAGCTTTTTATTCTAAAAAATCTATAATATTACAGCAGCAATTTATCAAAGTTTTTCAAAATCCTGTTTAAAAGCTCCAAATGGGGCTTCAGATCATATGAAGCAACAATTGCACTGTCATTGTTTTACAGGGCAGTATTTGCATTTGCTGATCCTTGTACTTAATTACTGATGAATATACAGGAATACAGATGTACAAGTGTCAACTCCTCTGAGATAGCAGGGGATGGAATTTTTGGCAAGGACCTGCCAAAAAATGCATCCCCCTTGTTTTTAACTCAAAGATTGTCCCACACACATGAAATTCACACTGGTAGCTCAGCACACATGTGGAAGCAGGTAGAAATTGAAACATCAGCTACAAATCTATATTTCTGGAAAAAAGCAGGGGATGCCATTTTTGGCAAGGACGTGGCCAAAAAATGCATCCCCCCTTGTTTTTAACCTAAGGACCTGCCAAAAAATTCATCCCCCTTGTTTTTAACTTAAAAATTGTCCCACACACATGAAATTCACACTGGTAGCTCAGCACACATGTGGAAGCAGGTAGAATTTGTCACATCAGCTACTAATCTATATTTCTGGAAAAAAGCAGGGGATGCAATTTTTGGCAAGGACCTGCCAAAAAATGCATCCCCCTTGTTTTTAACTTAAAGACTGTCCCACACACATGAAATTCACACTGGTAGCTCAGCACACATGTGGAAGCAGGTAGAAATTGAAACATCAGCTACAAATCTATATTTCTGGAAAAAAAGCAGGGGATGCAATTTTTGGCAAGGACCTGCCAAAAAATTCATCCCCCTTGTTTTTAACTTAAAGATTGTCCCACACACATGAAATTCACACTGGTAGCTCAGCACACATGTGGAAGCAGGTAGAAATTGAAACATCAGCTACAAATCTATATTTCTGGAAAAAAAGCAGGGGATGCAATTTTTGGCAAGGACCTGCCAAAAAAATGCATCCCCCTTGTTTTTAACCTAAGGACCTGCCAAAAAATGCATCCCCCTTGTTTTTAACTTAAAGATTGTCCCACACACATGAAATTCACACTGGTAGCTCAGCACACATGTGGAAGCAGGTAGAAATTGAAACATCAGCTACAAATCTATATTTCTGAAAAAAAGCAGAGGATACAATTTTTGGCAAGGACCTGCCAAAAAATTCATCCCCCTTGTTTTTAACTTAAAGATTGTCCCACACACATGAAATTCACACTGGTAGCTCAGCACACATGTGGAAGCAGGTAGAAATTGAAACATCAGCTACAAATCTATATTTCTGGAAAAAAAGCAGGGGATGCAATTTTTGGCAAGGACCTGCCAAAAAAATGCATCCCCCTTGTTTTTAACCTAAGGACCTGCCAAAAAATGCATCCCCCTTGTTTTTAACTTAAAGATTGTCCCACACACATGAAATTCACACTGGTAGCTCAGCACACATGTGGAAGCAGGTAGAAATTGAAACATCAGCTACAAATCTATATTTCTGAAAAAAAGCAGAGGATACAATTTTTGGCAAGGACCTGCCAAAAAATGCATCCCCCTTGTTTTTAACTTAAAGATTGTCCCACACACATGAAATTCACACTGGTAGCTCAGCACACATGTGGAAGCAGGTAGAAATTGAAACATCAGCTACAAATCTATATTTCTGGAAAAAAGCAGGGGATGCAATTTTTGGCAGGTCCTTAGGTTAAAAACAAGGGGGATGCATTTTTTGGCAGGTCCTTGCCAAAAATTGCATCCCCTGCTTTTTTCCAGAAATATAGATTTGTAGCTGATGTTACAATTTCTACCTGCTTCCACATGTGTGCTGAGCTACCAGTGTGAATTTCATGTCTGTGGGACAATTTTTAAGTTAAAAACAAGGGGGATGCATTTTTTGGCAGGTCCTTAGGTTAAAAACAAGGGGGATGCATTTTTTGGCAGGTCCTTGCCAAAAATTGCATCCCCTGCTTTTTTCCAGAAATATAGATTTGTAGCTGATGTTTCAATTTCTACCTGCTTCCACATGTGTGCTGAGCTACCAGTGTGAATTTCATGTGTGTGGGACAATCTTTAAGTTAAAAACAAGGGGGATGCATTTTTTGGCAGGTCCTAAGGTAAAAACAAGGGGGATGCATTTTTTGGCAGGTCTTTGCAAAAAATTGCATCCCCTGCTTTTATCCAGAAATATATACTTGTAGCTGATGTGACACATTCTACCTGCTTCCACATGTGTGCTGAGCTACCAGTGTGAATTTCATGTGTGTGGGACAATTTTTAAGTTAAAAACAAGGGGGATACATTTTTTAGCAGGTCCTTAGGTTAAAAACAAGGGGGATGCATTTTTTGGCAGGTCCTTAGGTTAAAAACAAAGGGGGATGCATTTTTTGGCAGGTCTTTGCCAAAAATTGCATCCCCTGCTTTTTTCCAGAAATATAGATTTGTAGCTGATGTTTCAATTTCTACCTGCTTCCACATGTGTGCTGAGCTACCAGTGTGAATTTCATGTGTGTGGGACAATCTTTAAGTTAAAAACAAGGGGGATGCATTTTTTGGCAGGTCCTTGCCAAAAATTGTATCCTCTGCTTTTTTTCAGAAATATAGATTTGTAGCTGATGTTTCAATTTCTACCTGCTTCCACATGTGTGCTGAGCTACCAGTGTGAATTTCATGTGTGTGGGACAATTTTTAAGTTAAAAACAAGGGGGATGCATTTTTTGGCAGGTCCTTAGGTTAAAAACAAGGGGGATGCATTTTTTGGCAGGTCCTTGCCAAAAATTGCATCCCCTGCTTTTTTCCAGAAATATAGATTTGTAGCTGATGTGACAAATTCTACCTGCTTCCACATGTGTGCTGAGCTACCAGTGTGAATTTCATGTGTGTGGGACAATCTTTAAGTTAAAAACAAGGGGGATGCATTTTTTGGCAGGTCCTTAGGTTAAAAACAAGGGGGATGCATTTTTTGGCAGGTCCTTGCCAAAAATTGCATCCCCTGCTTTTTTCCAGAAATATAGATTTGTAGCTGATGTGACAAATTCTACCTGCTTCCACATGTGTGCTGAGCTACCAGTGTGAATTTCATGTGTGTGGGACAGTCTTTGAGTTAAAAACAAGGGGGATGCATTTTTTGGCAGGTCTTTGCCAAAAATTGCATCCCCTGCTTTTTTCCAGAAATATAGATTTGTAGCTGATGTTTCAATTTCTACCTGCTTCCACATGTGTGCTGAGCTACCAGTGTGAATTTCATGTGTGTGGGACAATTTTTAAGTTAAAAACAAGGGGGATGCATTTTTTGGCAGGTCCTTAGGTTAAAAACAAGGGGGGATGCATTTTTTGGCCACGTCCTTGCCAAAAATGGCATCCCCTGCTTTTTTCCAGAAATATAGATTTGTAGCTGATGTTTCAATTTCTACCTGCTTCCACATGTGTGCTGAGCTACCAGTGTGAATTTCATGTGTGTGGGACAATCTTTGAGTTAAAAACAAGGGGGATGCATTTTTTGGCAGGTCCTTGCCAAAAATTCCATCCCCTGCTATCTCAGAGGAGTTGACACTTGTACATCTGTATTCCTGTATATTCATCAGTAATTAAGTACAAGGATCAGCAAATGCAAATACTGCCCTGTAAAACAATGACAGTGCAATTGTTGCTTCATATGATCTGAAGCCCCATTTGGAGCTTTTAAACAGGATTTTGAAAAACTTTGATAAATTGCTGCTGTAATATTATAGATTTTTTAGAATAAAAAGCTAGCAGATGTGCATAAACAAAAAAAAACAACAAAAAAAACAATACAGTTCAGTAAAAATACAGTTCTGTTTTATGCCTCATTCTTGTAAGTTTAAAATGTTCCAATGCTCCTGAATGCACCATAGCTTTCTGACGCGCAGCGAACGCATCTCACTGGTCTGTGAACGCTGTGCTTTGTAGGTGCGCGTTTGATTTTCCACTTAAGAGAAAGCTTTGCAAACTCAAAACTCACTTCGGCTATCACGGTTTAGTGTTGTGTGTAAATAGCAAGAGACCACAACAAATAAATCAGCCGTACCATGGTCAAAATCTTTGGATTTAATGTTGTTCAAAAAATCCGTACTTTTGTAAATTAATCTGCCAAATAACCACAACTTTTTTCCCACGAGAGGTATTTTTAAACGTTTTTATATCATTAATATAAGAACCTAAGCTCCATTGAACATATTTTAATCCGTTTTCCTCGTCGATATGCCGTTCAACAGAGCGAGGCGCGCTCCCGCGACTGGGGATGCATATTTCGGCAGGCATGCACTTTTGGGCATAACACCGGTCCATCTTCCGCTACGTTGCGTTGTTGTTTACACGCCGGGTGGGAACTAAAATTCTACTTTATGGTTCCGCTTTCTAGTATACCTTTTTTCTGGGTCTCAACTTTTATTTTGTATTATTTATTAAATCTTAAAAGCGGTAAGAAAATCCCTTCTACAGTCTACAGTGTACTAAAACCTTAAAGCATTGGCTTACTCACGTTTACTTGTGCTTGTTCAACTCACTTTTCACCACAATATTACCACAAACCCTTATGTGTGCCATAAAAATTCAACATATTATTGTGCATAAGTGTAAAGTAGAAGGAAAATAATACAGAGTTTTTTTTTAAACATTTTTACAAAAACAAAACAAAAAAACACAAAATAAAGCATGCCACAGGGTATTTAGCCCCTTATGATGCCATTACGAATAATACAAGCCTGTGAGGCCTTTTTTTTTTTTTCAGAAATAACCTATCAGTCTACTTGTGTAATTGATTGTCAATACAAATCTATTATTTTTGTGAAGATTTGGTAGATAAGATTAAAAAACAGCACTTAAGGCCATGAAACACTGGAGATAGTTTACAGTGAATGTTGTTAAACTTTAAAGCAGGATTAGCATTTATTAAAATATATCTCAAGCTTTGAATATTTCACATAGCATTATTCATTTCATAATCTGAAATGTGAAAATGAACTTGCTGAAGGTTTATCCAGACTTGTTTATGATTGTCTTTTATTGAATGTTGGACAAAAATATTTCTTTAATTAAATTACCCTCTGCCAAAAGGATGGATTTAGTTCTTCTTTGACTGATTCAGCATTTTAGTTAAGGTTCTGTCAAATATTGACCCAATGTGATCCATCCCGCTGCTGGGTTTACACCATTTTAAGACCTTCTGGGGAACAAATAATCTTTTATTCATATATTGACAACAAAACCTTAGAAATTATTGTGGTTCTGCTCACTTTTGACCATCATTAGTTCGTATGGATCATTTTAGTTCTTGTATATAAATTTGATATCATGCTGTTTACTATTTAATCACATAGAGGGACATAAATCTCCATCAAAGAAGAGTCTAGTGCATTTCTAGTTAAAGCGGATATTGGTTCTATCAGACATGGATCAACAGAACATCAATGAATCTTTTCAAGCAGCATGTTTGTGTTTAAACTGAGATTTATGAGAAGGATTCATGTCCTCAGCAGGTTAACTTTTCTCTGACTCCCATTCAGTCTGACCCATTAGACAAGTAACAGAAGTAACTCTTCTTAGACTCATTCCTCCAGATGACACCAGAAAGAAGCATTTTTATCTGAACTCCTCTCCACTCTCGTGGATACTTTCTCAAACTCCCTCTAAAATCACTGTAGACATTCTACTTTTATTGTGTTTTGGTTCTCCATGGTTTTCAGTTCTTTTGTTTCACTAATCTCCCCAAAGAACAATAAAATTACCGAAACCCGAGGCTGCTTTTAATCAAGGTCAAAACATATTTGTTTAGAGTAGCTTTTGACTGTTCTGTTTAAACTTTTTAGTAAAACATTATCAGTTTTATCAGTTTTAGTTTGCTCGCCAGCTTTTTGTTACCGGCCTCTAGGCCACTGCAGTCTTTTTGCTGTTTGTTTTATCTTCTTGTTTTTTTGTTCATGCTCCTCAAACTGTATTGTTGCCGAAATGTGGTATTAAAATAAACCTGCCTTGCCTCGTGGAATAAATAGCGAAACCAAACGGGCTTTAATTTTATCAGCAACATTTGAGGAACACGGTTCATTTATAGCAGGACTCTTTCTGGCCACAGTCTTGCCAGGAAGACTTGGAATCCTAAGGTTGTGAGGTCGAAACCCACTCCCACAGGCTGCCACTCTGGGTCTCTCAGCGAGACCCTTCACCCCACACTGCTCCCCGGGTGCCTCACGATGGCAGCCCATTGCTCCCTAAGGGGATGGGTTAAATGCAGCGGGAAATTTCTCCACTGTGAGATCAATAAAGTTAAATTATTATCATTTTATTTTATAATAAGGAACTTTTCTGCTTTATATTTACTGATGTTTAGAGAATGCATCCACTTCTTATTCTAGTAGAAATGTAATCTCTCTGCTGTTTAAAACCAATCTACAGGATTATTAAATTATTGATAAATAGCAATGAAGCATTATGGACATCTGACTTTTCTTTGTTTTTCACGTTTTTATTTTCTGGAATCAGACTTAGGTCTCATCACTGAAGTCAGGCTCAAAAGCTCCCTGCTGCTTCACATCAGTTTCAAAATAAAAGCCCATCAATGTTAAAATGTATTTGAATTTTTAAGATAATTACAAATGTCAGTGTAGATTATAGTATAATCTACACTGACAATGGACATTTAAAAGTATAATCATCATACTTTTAGACTTTGATGATTGTGAAGTCAAAGTGAATCATTGTCCATGAATGGAAGTGATCTTCCAGTGTTCCACCTAGTGGATGGATAGTGGTAGCACAGCAGCTGACAGCAGCTTTTGCTTCCTCTGCCTCACGCTGATGTCCGACTGCATTCAAGGACATTGATTCCAAGAGAAAAATAGCCAATCAGAGGAGAGGCAGCTATTTAGGATGATTACATTTGATGAGAAGATAAATTATTTGGGTTTCCATCCATCCATCCATCCATCCATCCATCCATCCATCCATCCATCCATCCATCCATCCATCCATCCATCCATCCATCCATCCATCCATCCATCCATCCATCCATCCATCCATTTTCTTCCGCTTTATCCGGGACCAGGTCATGGAGGCAGCAGTCTAAGCAAAGATGCCCAGACTTCCCAATCCACACACACCTCCTCCAGCTCAGAGACATAGTCCCTCCAGCGTGTTCTGGGCCTTCCACTAGTCCTCCTCCCAATGGGACATGTCTGCAACACCTCCCAAGGGAGGGGACCAGGAAGCATCCGGAACAGATGCCCGAGATACCTCAGCTGGCTCCTTTCGATCGGAAGAGCAACAACTATACTCCGAGCTCCTCCTGGGTAACTGAACTCCTGATTTGGGTTCCTCCTGCAGATAAAGCTAGAAAGTGTGTGTAAGCTGATGTGGATGTGAATTCAGCAGCATGGATCAGTACAGGGATGGAGAGAAGAGAGTCCCTCCCTCTAAACAACTTTGGAAGCATTTGAGCCAAAAAAAAAAAAACTCTCAAAGATGACACATTAAAGACCTGTGGCACAGTATTTAACATAAACTTTTAGACATATAAAAATGAACTGTGTGAAAGTGTGTGACAATCCACCCAAAGATTTTCAATCTACAAATGAGATCAAATTTAACTGTTCATTAACAATTAAACCCTTTCAGGCTCAAATTAAGTTCTAGTTGCAGGAAAAATCTGATATTTGGAGAAAATGATCATATGGGGTAGTAATATACAATCAGACTTTTTATTGAGAGAGACCTTCACATGCAATGAATTCTGGAATGTTGCAGATTTGCAATAGTGGCCCAGAGTGGTAAATTAACACTGAAGACTGAATCTGATATGAACGTTAACTTTATTTGAATGTCATAAACAAAAAATGAACAAAAAAAAAAAGAAATTCTCTCACAAAATTAGATACGTTTTCTCAAACTTTATCTCTACCGACATCTCAAAACCTCTTGAGAAGGCCGTTTCTGTTAAACTGTTGCTCAAAATATAGGCTAACTAGTAGATAAAGCATGTAGCATCCATTGGTACCTGTTTGGGCACACGTTGCGAATCCACAACATTGAAATCAAGATGCCTCTGGTTAAAAACCCAGAGGAGATAAAGTCTACAAATTGGCATTTGTCATATCTATGCACATTCATGATTCATCTTATGTAATATTGATTTCAAAATAATGGAAATTGGTAGTGATACTTACATGAAATTGGTGCTTAGAAAATCTGTTTCAGTGACACCAAGGACTCAGCCATGTTAAAAGTGAGTCAGCAGTGCCATCAGGTGAGCTGGAGAGAAACTGTTTGTTGCAAATGCACAACAAAGTCCTTCTGTTGTACTTCTGAGTAACAAAAGCTCTTAAAATATGGATGTGGAGTAATATTTACTAATAAATACTAAGTAGTAGTTAGCTGTTGCAAATCTGCAACATCTGCCTGGAGAGGGTTAAATTAATGAAATTACCGAGTTACCACACTCCGAAGGTCATACTGTTATTCTCACCATTATTGACAGGTTCTCCAAGATGGTTCATTTAGTTCTGCTGCCTGAACTCCCATCTGCAAAGGAGATGGGGGAGACCCACACTCGGGAGGTTTTTTGCCTGCCTAGTCTCCCCACAGACATTGTTCTCTCAGTTCGTTTCTCAGTTTTGAAAGCAGTTCGGTTCTCTGTTGGGGATCTCTGTCAGTTTGTCATCAGGTTTTCACCCCCAAACAGTCAGACAGAGAGGGCCAACCAGGAGGTTAAGACGAGGATTCGTGATATCAATTCTGCTCCCTCTAGCACCACTGCACTCTCTCCGTTTTTTGTTGTGTTCGGTTTTCAGTCACAAGTGTTCACCATTCAGGATAGAAACTCCAAAGTTACATCTGCCCGTTTATCTTCCCGCAGGTGCCAGCGAGCCTGGAAAAGGGCTAGAAAGACCATTTCCAGCACACATTTACCAGGAGGGTCAGAGGGTTTGGCTATCCACCCAAGATCTGCCTCTTAGGATAGTAGGAAGCTGGCTCCTCGCTTTATATGGCCATTTCCTATCGCTAAAGTGGTGAGCCTGGTGGCCTTCTGCCTCCAGCTTCCTCGTACAATGAAGGTACTACCCACATTTCATTTTCCACTGGTCAAGCCTGTGGTAACCTTTAGATTTGTGCCTACCTCAAGGTCACCGCCACCCACCTGATTCAGCGATGGTGACCCTGCCTACACGTCAACCTCTTTCTGAAGTCCAGGAGGAAGGGCAGGGGGATCTGGTCCTGAGGAGAGGTTCTGGGTTTCTGTTGAGCTGATTTTGGATAAGGCTCGGATTAAGGCCTTCCATAAGCAGCACCTTTGGTTGTCTGTCATGTTCTTGG